TTGATGCCGAAAAGAATAAGTGACAGCACCAGATGAACTTCCCTGGGGAGCATGTTCCTAAGTCGAGGTGCCACCGCCAAAAGGCCCTTCTCCAGGTAGCTACCCTCCTAATTTCCTTCAAAGAGGGCTCCCGGAGAAGAACCTCTGCCTCAGATCTCAAGGGGTGGGCAGGCACATAGTGAAGAAGGCGCTTCTTCCGGTATCCAGGACCCAAGCCATTCAGGGCTTTGTAGGTCATTACCAGCATCTTAAATTGGGCCTGGGCTGCAATTGGCAGCCAGTACACACACACACACACACACACACACACACACACGCTTCTGTATCACATAAATGTATTGTCTTAGTTCTCCATGATAGCAGGGTGTGGGTTCTTATAATACATACTGACCCAGTTTGCACATAACAGAAATCCAGAGTATGGATTGTTACTACATGTGAACCTTGCATTATAGCTTAACTACAGGTTGTTAATAATCAACAAAACATGGGCTTTCTTCCTGGGTTGTTCATGGTCAACAACCCATGGTTAAACCATGGTGCAAGGTTTGCACATGACAATCCCTGGTCTAGGAGTTGTCTGTGCTAGACAACTTGCATAACCTCTACACTGCTTTATAGCTTTTGATCTTTAAACTAGAATTGGACCAGACGGCCCATCAAATACAGATTCTTTCTAAGAGAGCATTGCCCTCCATAAAGTAGGACACAAACCTTCCCCAGTTACAGTGCCCTCTTAATGTTCCTGATGGTCAGACCGTTCCTTGGTTCTCTGCCAGGGTCACCAAATAAGCACCCCTTGGTGATTCTTATTGAATCCTTTCTACAGAGCATGGGAGCGTGAGCCAATTATCTTGGGCGAGGGAGTATAATACTAGGGCCTTCTTTGCATGTGGAGGGCCCCAGGTTCCATCCCTGGCATCTCCACTTAAAAAAGCAGGCCTTTTGCTCCCAGAAGCCCCTACCAGAAGAACTAAGAGTGAATATCCCAGACATTGGGCAATTTACTGTCTGTCCACCCCTGCTCTGACTTAGAGTCTTTCGAGCCCCTTTCACTTTCCCTTCCTTTTTTCAAAGTGAAGATGCCAGAGAATGAATCTTGGCCTTCTTCCATGCAGAGCAGGAACTTGACCCTTATGCATACACCCACACAATTTGTTCCAAGTCCAGAGTTCTCCATAAAAGAGCAGCATTGTCCTTCATATTTCTCATAGAAAATGTGGCACAAGTCATTCTATTCTCCAACCATCTGGCTGGCAATTGCCAAAGCTGCATGTGAAGGGCTGGCATGCATGCAGCTCAAGGTAGTGGTGCCCCACACGGTTCCTATGCAGAAGACAATCTTCAGAAAGTCCTCACTGGTGGGATAGAGGCTTTAAAATGTTGTTGTGAAAGGGCTGTGGCAGCAAATTTTCCTCAGAGTGTTTGCTCTGGAGACATGGCGTTTCCAAGATGTTAACTCAGTCTTGTACACCTGTGGACCTTCCAGAGGAAGCATTTTGCAAGCAAACACAGCAACTTTCCAAGAGAAAGCAATTGAGATTGAAATCATTTACTTGCTCTCTTGTTCTGCCTAGGATACAACACAGTTTCCAGAGGGGTAGTCATCTTAATATTCAAGAGAGATTCAACTCTATTTTCTCCAGCTTGAAAGAAGGCAAAGGCAGGATTAAAACAAAACAAAACACTACATATGTTAATTGGAGCACATTGCAATGATGTTTGTGTTATCATGCAAAAGTTTGTGAATGGCAACTGTTCAGGTAATCATCACAACTTATATTTTTTGCATTTCAGTTCCCTCTGGGAACACAGTTACACTTCTCAACATGTGTGCTTAAATCTAACAATTAGTTGTTAATATTTCATGCATTCAATGAATTGGCCTCTAGTCCACAAAAGCTTATGACATAAAAAATCTAGTCCTTAAAGCACCATGAAATGCCATTTGTCTATTTGCTTTTTAATAAAACAGTAAAACTTTGTATTATATTTGCAGTAAATCATGTACATATTTATTCCCTTTTATGTGTGTATCATGTGATGGATATAATGACACTTGGTGTATTATTATCTACAGTTCATCTATACTAATTGTGATGTCCAAGGGAAGGAATTCTATGCTTATAGCCATAGACATTACAAGATTTAGATGAGGAACTGAAAATATGAGACAAACCCTTGCCCAAAGGGTATTTAACAAGTAATATTATTAAATTTGTTTAAAGACTGCCTGTTAGCAAATGCTCTCTGGGCAGCCATTACAATATAAAATCCACAAATAACATTAGTAAAATAAGGGAGCTTACTGTTCTGGAAAACCTCTGATGACTTCCCTGATACAGGAGTTTACACTTTCCAGTCTTATGTTGGCAGCCGACTGGGAAACATAAATTAAGCCCATATGTTCAACCAGCCCCATCTATGCAACCATTTATGTCATGGATGGGGAACCTTTCCCACTCTGCTGCAGGGCTACACTCCCTGTGGGAAAATCTGTTAGAGAAGGAACCAGAAGTGGATAACAGAGCGTGGGGAGGAACCACCGAGACCTGCTGCAGGACAGCTGCAAGACACCCTTTTGTCTACATTCTGCAGAAGCAGTGCTTCCTCCTTCACTCCTGGGTCTTTTTAATATTCTACCCATAGGAGAAGATAAGTTTAGGGATTTCGGGAGATCTTAATTTCAGCGTGTCCTTTAAACTCCTGGCCAACCTACAGCACAATACAACCATTTGCAGTCATGAGCTCAGAGGATGGTGGGCATCTTATTGAGGGTGGAAGGAAGATGGAGATGATGCTGGCCCCTGTACTTCTTGTGCCCTACAAGAAGTACAGGGGCCACCCATCTAAGTCTTTGGTGCCTGCTCATGAGGAGGAAGTACACCCACCACATTCTGCACTGTGGCAGAGCTTAACTCCTTCCTTCCCAGCATCTGGGAGTGCTTACCCAGGTCTGACTCTGAGGCCAGTCTCCTGACCATGGAGCCCCTTCCAGCATGGAAGGAACCATAAAGCAGGGCATTCTGAGGTCAGAGCCCCAGTTCTGACTGCAGATCATTTATGGAGATTTAAATTTTGCGATCTGTTGTATCCTTGCAAGTCTTTACCTGTTTTCTGTTCAAGGATCTGTTCAGAAAAGGAGGAGGAAGTTTGAGTAATCACAGCTGCACATTTCCTATCAGTGTGGTCACAGTTACTAACATACTATAGATAAGGAATGGAGAATTTGAGATAATCACATGTCCAAAGGCTACTTAGGAGGCTTAGTTTATTTTAGTAATCTTAATTTGGATTTGGTTTCTCTGGATGAGCATCACTGGAGGGCCTTAACTCTGTTGTGTTGTTAACTTGAGCACCCTGTTCTTGAACAAAGGTGGTTATTCTTGGGGGAAGAAAAGTTTTAAAGAGTGATAGCTACACTAAATTTCTGTAATACAAGTAATCAAGAGATCCTGCCTTATTTTCTTTATTTTGAATAAAACCAGATATTTTCTATTGCACTGCTTATGTTAACTGCATCATTGCAAAGATGTCTGAATAATCACTCAACAGTATTTTGTGAATGGCAGCTGTTAAGGGAATTATCACTGTACTTCTTGCATTTCAGTTTCTTCTGACAGCACAGTTGACCTCTGTTTGCCCCAGCCTGCCCCACCCAATTTAAGGTTAACGTTTCATGTATCTGATGGTGGACAATGTCCACAAAAGCTTATGCAGAATAATGCATTCGTCTACCATGCCACAATACTCTTTGCTGTTTTTGCTGCAATAAGATACCCCTCTGTTAGTTATTTCAGTTATGCAGGCTTAGTTCTGTAGGGCAAGGCCTGAGAGAAGGCCCCACTCAATTCAGTGGGTTATCAGAGGATACATGCATAAGAGTTCAAGTTGTATGGAACTGTGTATGGAAGAAAGGCTTCTGTATGGAAGGGCATCCTGGCTCCCTCCAGCTTCCGGAAAGAATAGGGGAGCACTAACCTATGCATGCTTAATTGGCAATCCCACTGTGTTCAGTGCGGATTACTCTCAGGTGTTTACGACTGCAACATTTTAAGAACTTTGCAACGAAGACTTACTGACAGTTTGCTTCCCCTGCCTCCTCCTTTTCCTTCCCGATACCATTCTTTTTGTGTGTGGTATCTTCTAGATTGTAAACTTGAGTCCAGGGACTGCTTGGGGACCCGACCTTAGTAAACCACTTAAAGTTTGTTTTTTGCTTTAAAATTAACAAATATGCTAATCAAGTATAATACTAACAACAGACCTACTCCCAGGCTTTTGAACTTTTTTTTTTTAGGTGCATGTTAGATTTTTGCACTGCTGCTGGATTTTACCTTAGGTTGTCTTGTTTTTGCTTCGGTTTTAATCTGTTGAAATTCCTGGTGTTTCAGTTACGCTTTGCGGTGTTGCTGCATTTTAAGTTTCGCCTGGCTTGAAGCGCCCGGGCAGCTTCTGCTAGTGGCAAACCTCGAAATACGCTAAGTGGGTAAAAACCCCGCTTATTATGAAAGGAACATCCTCCTTCAAGTCTGCTGAAGCCGGCCCTGCGCAGGCACCGTGGGGGAATGGCAGCTTTTCCAGCTGGGCTTTTAAAAAGGAACAGCCAGGCGGCGGCCAGGCCTTGAGGCTGGCTTAGTAGTAACCGGAGAGCGGTAGACCTGCCAGGGCCCCAGAACGGGGCGGGCCGGCGGGGAGACGGGAGCCCGAGCAGCCTGTGTCAGCAGCTTCCCCGCTGCCAGAGGGGCGTGAGCGCAGGCGGGGCAGGCTGCGCGCCTGGTTACAATAGTTACAGCCCCGCAGAGGCGGCGGCAGCCAGCCGCGTTGGAGGCGAGTGACGCGCGCGCACATGCACACGCGCTCCCGGGAGCTGTCGCGGGGCAGCAGCGGGCGGGGGGCGCGGAGCAGAGCGGGAAGGGGAGGCCGGGCCGGGCCGGCTCTGGCTTGACTTCCCCCCGCCTGCGTCTTCTCAGCGGGCCGGGCTGCAGAAGCCCGCGGCGGCACGGGCAGCGCCTTTGGAGCGGCTGCCGCCCCCTCGCCAGGCAAACCGGCGCGGCGGGTGGCTGGACGGGAGCAGAGATGGGGGCTTCCGAGCGTGCGAAATAGCCGCCGGGAGGAGATGCGGCTGCAGCGGCCCCTGCGCCTTGCCTTCCCCTCCCTGGGCTCTTCTGCAGAGTCTACTTAGCCCCCCTTGTGGAGGAGGGAAGCGACGAGAGACCCCCGCCCCGCCTCCCCTTGTTTCCTGCACTCCAGCATCGAGGTTTGGAACCCGGAGCGACTGGTGAGTGAAGTCTTGGGATGGGGAAGGGCGGCGAAAGCGGGGAATCGGGTGTCCTTGCCTTTGCATTTAAACGTGATCGGGGGAGGGGGGGTGGAATCAGCGAATATAAAGGCTCAAACTGTCCCAAACTTCCCTGACACCTTTCCATGCTCTGCATGTTTGGCTTGCATGTGTGGCCGTCTCTGGGGAGAGAAAGTCTTTTGGAGACCACGATGCCCGGTTACTTGCGTGCTGGCCTGCTGAAGGTGCTCGTGAATGAAAGTGTGAAGGGTTGCATGTGCTGGGGTGAATTTCCCCCACCCCTCGCCAGCACACCGTAGTCTGAGGGAGGGGCGTGAAGCAGAGGGTTGGGGGTGCCTCCGAGGAGAGGGTTTGGAGGAGGGAAGGCATACCACAGCCGCGGTTTGTTTTCTTGTTCATAAAAAAGTTTTGGGGAATGCAAAGGGATGGGGCTGCTAGTGTCCACTACGGTGGAGATTATGTGCGATGGGAAAACACCTGTGAGACAACTCGTTAAAAGAAGCCCCCGAGGAAAAGCTGTAAGGAGGGCATGGCTTTGGGAGACTTAACGCTCCGTGCTTTGAGACTTGTGCTGATCTGTTCCACCTGGAATGTTTAAATATATATTTTTTAGCTTTTTTGACTCCATAAGGAGTTAAAAGTCAGGGAACAGATACCCTGTATTGAGCCTTTCTCTGTTTGGAATTGGGATGGCCCTTTATAAGCTTTTAATGAAAGGGTTGTAGTCTGTGCAAGACTTCAGTTCAGAGGTTCAGGTTAGACGGGAAATGGAATTTTAGGGCCCTTCTTGTGTGTCTGTCTTATTCAAACAGCACTTGTGTGCGTCTTGTTTTCTCCTCTCTCTCTCTCTCTCTCTCTCTCTCTCTCTCTCTCTCTCTCTCTCTCTCTCTCAAATGATTGTGGAAAATGTGCTGTCTGGTCAGAAGAATGCAAGGGAGGAATGAAAATCTGATGCAAGTTGTTTTGCTGTTGTTATTATGGCTTCCCGCTTCTTCCTGTCCAAAAGCCTCAGCACTGAGCGGAATGTTGAGATTTACAGAGCTGTAGGGAAATGTTTGGAATCAGACTTGAACTTAGAAAGTTAAGAAATTGAGGGACACCCAGATGCAAAACTCTTCCTATGTGAACAATTCCCGGTAACTTTCATAGTTTCTTCTTCAGAGGGTCTTGGAATTCTTGCTTTCATGGGCTTCAGTCCTTTGCACATCTTTTAAAGTCAGTTAAGATTCAGAGAAAGAGACAGAAAGAGAAGATGATTGTGGGAGAAGTGGGAATCGAAGAAGAAATCTACTGGGGAAGTCATGAGAAATAATATGGGTTTCATTTGATACTTTATCTGCTTACAATCAACACCTCTGCAAAACCACATCATAATCTCTCTCATATTGGTGAGTGTGTCACTCTCTAAATTGCATATTTAGAACAACAAAGGCAGTGACTTCATAGAGAACTGGCAGGAACTGCGCTCTGTGGAACTCTGGTTTGTTGGGAATTAAAATGGGGCAACTGGTTTTTTTCTGCTGGGTGGATCCCAATCTCCTAAGCATAAGACACCTCTAAGGATGGGGCCACAGCTGATTGTTGACTTCTGGTGCCTTTCAAACAACTTCTTTATGAAGTGAGTTCGATGTGTTTCCCCTGTTCTTGCAGTTTGGCCTAGATTGTGGTCACAACATGGTGGGGTGCGGTGGAGCGGGGAGTGGGTAGAGAAAGAGATAACAGGCTACTTTTTCTGCTGATGTTTTGACACTTTGCATCTGGAGCAACTTAAGACATGCTAAACAAAATAACACACAGTGTTTGGCCATGCAGACTGACTGAGGAGGATGGTGGCGTCCTTGGCAGGCTTTGGATGAGAACCAGACCACTTTGTGCAAGTCAGCATTTGGGTGCCATGGTTGAAATATCAGCAGCTGTTTATTTTTCGTGGGCAGGGGCATTCTGGTAGCCCTACTTTATCTAGCCTCCTCGGTCCAGGCACTTTTCAGGCATTGATAGGACCTCCGTCATTACTCACTCTTCTACTCCATAGTCTTTGGCTCCCAGCTGAGTGCTGGCTCCGGGTTCTTGAACCCCTTGGCCAAGACACTCACAGTGGGCCTCTCCCCCATGAGTCAGCCGCCTTACCAGCTGTGCTTATTCTTCTTCCACTCTCTTATCACTCTTCCACTCTCTTATCTTCTTCCGCTCTCTTATCAAGCTCCCCTTTGCTTGCTTGATCTCAGGCAGCGAGCCAGGGAGCAAGACGACACTGATGTCTCCCATCACTCTCACTATCGTCTGGGCCAGAGTGAGAGACTGGTGAGCAGCAGGTTGCAAAATTAAAGAGGAGGAGCACGTCCAGGGAGTGCTTGGTGGTAGGTCCTGCTGGGTTATGGGCCTTCATCATGTGCCCAGCTGTGCCTACCCTTGAGGCTGGCGCCATTCTGTATGCAGAAAACGGGTGGGAGGCTACTGGCCCACCCATTGCATGCCTCCAGTAGGCTTTGGTGATGGGGATGCTGTTTGCCGCTTGAGAAGCTGGTAGGGATGTGTCCTTGCAGAGGAAGCAAGCAGTGTACAAGCCTTCCTTGCTCAGGCATCCTCACCAAGGGGAAAATACCATATGCAAGTGGAGGTGGGACCTCACCGCCTAGCCCTGTCCTTAATGTAACAAGTACCTAGTAGGAGACCCAGTGCAGAGACGTCCCTCTGACTTGGAACCCTAAGATGCAGTACTGGGTTTCTCATTTTCCATGCATTGTGCACTGCCCGGAGAACCTGCCGGTTTAAAGAGATGAGCAATAAGTGTGTGTTCCAGCCAGGGATTTGTGCAGCTCTACAAGAAGAGATGTGGAGATAATGCTGCATCTGCCCAAAGAGAGATACATGCGTTCTCAGTTTGAAATTTAAAACATATGAATACAAGGAATTATGATTTCCATGCGCTTCTTGCATTTCAGCATATAATTTATTTCCAAATCAGGTACAAGTGTGAGGAGTAATGAAAGGGCCCAAAATAGGAAGATCACTCAAAGTTAGAAGCCTTATAAAAGTAATTTTACTGGGGAAAAAGTTTACTGGCTGCAGCTGAACTGGGAATATAACTAGGGCAAGGGACTACGGAGAGGTCTGCAACTTAAAAAAGCGTGAATTCCCTGCTTGATGTCCTCCAGATGTTTTGGACTACAACTTACAGCAATCTAGACTAGTGGCCATTCTGGTCGGGGCTGATAGTACTTGGGGAACCAAGAGGAACCAAGTGGGAAAGGCTGCTCTAAGAAATTATACAGCAGGCGATTGCATGTCCCCTAAACAGTTTTGAGAAAGAGAAGCACTACGTTAACATCAGAAATGGGCCAATTTAAGGGTATAATCAACACACTAGGGATTTGTACAGCACCAAATACATACATACATACATAAAATGGAGCCAACGGGCAGGCAATTCGTGATGCTAATCTAGGAAAATAAATGATTTTTAGTACTATGCAAGGTGTCTGTGTTGGGATTGGGCAGCCCTTTGGCCAAAGGTGGCAGCTTGGGTTCCTCAGATTGCCACTCGGCCCAATGCAGGTTCTCTTGCCACCTGAAAGAGTAGAGCCCACCTTGTAGAAGAACCCTCCCTCCTTGTTGCCCCAGCCGGGAGAGCCCACTCCATTTCCTTTGCCATCATGTTCTTCCTACTCAGCCAGGGCCTTTTGGGGTTGAAACCAGCAGTGGCGGTAAGAGATGATTGCATAGCAACAGCAGCAGGGAGCTCTGATCTCCTGGCTCTGGCCTCTCAGGACCTCAGTCCATGGCCAAGATGTTGCAAGGTGTCTGGTAGATGCCAAGAGCTCATGAGGGCTCCATGTGGCACCTCCATTTTTGCACTGCACAAGATGGGGAGCCAGCTGCCAGGGCTCTCTTGAGGATGTGCTGGTGATGGTGGGCTCTTCTGAATTGGGCTGGGGGTGAAGAAGCAGCACAGCTCATGCAGGCACCTCGCTTTTCTTCCTGGATGGGCCAGCTCTGCATACTGCAAGCCCTTTTCACTCATCCATTTCATGGTTTTCCAGCTATTGCACAGAGTTTTAAGACTAGGTGGGTTGAGAGTCCCAAGAGTTCTCCAAAACTGAATCCTTTGTGCTCACCTCTGGTCTGTACAGACACCTTGTAGTATTTCACAGTGAAACAGTGGAGGAGAAGGGAAGAACTGAATAGAAGAACACGTGCCTTGCATTTAGAAAACCCAACTTCTGCAATCTCCTGATAAAAAGATGATGCAACCAATGATGGGAAGGTCTTTTCTCAGTCTTTGATGCTATGGAGATGCCACCACTCTGACTATGGATGACTGGATATTTTTATATTTCACAGATTTTATAAACTGCTCCACACCTAACATATTCTAGCGTGGTGAACCATATTTAGTAGTGTTAGATTTATTAGAAGATACAAGGAATAAGACACCATGAAAACACAGTATCAGTAAAAAAACAAAACCCAGTGCTTGGTCAGCCCAGGAACACCTCCTAAAGGAAGGACACAACACTGGTGCCCTATGTGATCACTAGAGTTCTGCAGAAATAGAGTCCCCACACGATTTATGCCAATGTCCTTTTTTCCCTTCTTGTATTCTGAAATCTCAGCAATTTTGAAGCATGTGCTTCAGAAGGAAGGAAAGGATTCCCCATGTGCTCCTTTTGGAAAAAGGATTGTGGATTTTAACAATGTTAGTCTTCAGTGTGATGACAAAGAAGGAAATCGAGAGCATGAGAAGTTCCTGAGGAAGCATTGCAGAAACTGCAATATAAGATGAAATGAGGAAAACAATGCTTGTGAATATCTCTCTTCTACATAGTTTTGCTCCTTTCCCCCTTGATTATGTTTGGCCATATAAATTATGGAGTATCTTCTCCTTTTTAGATAGGACAGGAATACATTAGAACATATATACAAATGGAAATCCAGTTTGGTGTTTGGATGGGCAACCTTATTCTTGAAGTCCTCCCTCA